TCTAAAACCTCTAGTTGTTTAAACAAATATAATATGAAAAGAAAGGTAGTACAAGCTAGCGAAATCAGCATACGAAATTTGTTAGGCGATTAATTCTATTATATTTGATCGATAAGATTTAAAAGTATAATTTAACAACTTATAATTTTAAATTGGATAATGTAGAGTTGGATTTATCAATAAAACTGTCTTGTGAACAATAATTTAGCCAGGTCATTAGGCCAGCTATTTTTTATGTTATAAAACTAGATCCTACTAAGATACTTAAGATCTAAAAATATGAGAAATTAGTGCCATCCAATCTAGTTCAAAAGATACATTGAAAACTCAAGTATCTGTGGAGATCCTTGAATTGATCAAACAAGCTTAGTTGTTACAGTACTTAGAAACAATTACTTCTTAAATGTACTTATTTAGAGATGCACTGTATCTTTACAACTGTATTAATGTGTGACGTTTATTACTAGTACTCTTTTATTTTCCTTTTTTGCTAAAGTACATCTGCACATATTCATATTAGATCTTGGAAGTGCTTTGAAGCTCCTCTCTGTTCTTAAATTATATTTGAATCTGTTGGCAACGTAAATAAAGTATCATATTTACTACATGCGAGATATAAAAACACTTTTGGTATAAAGTCTTTTAAAGGAAATCCCGCATACTTAATGTCACAATATGTTAAGAGTATCTTTATAGGGCCTTGCGCTAATTTAGCACCACAAAATTAGCAAGAAATTATAGTATTAATTAGTTGGGTTGGCTACTTTTTTGGGCTGACTATTAAAGTATAACCATATTTTAAATTATCATGGCAAAGTAGCTTCTGGTCTCGTTAAATTGACATTTTTGCCACAAGTAAAACACAGAACACAAGTCTAGCAATCGGTGCTCGAGTTCGAAACTTTGACGAGTGGACCCCCGGTAAACTATGCTGAAATTCAAAGATTTGTTGAATTTTAAAACTAAAAATGATTCCTAATTTTTGAACCTTTACTAGTGCAAAACTGAAAAAACGATTCCTGATTTTTGAACCTTTATTAGCGTAAAATCCAAGAATGATTCCTGATTTTGGACTCTATTAATTTGTTGCAATGTGGAGCAGATTTGACAACCAATTTAATTCCTGGAACGTGTGAGCCATGGAAAAAGTTAAGACAGTGTATGCAAATTTCCTCTTGTCAGCTGATCGATCCTAGAATTCTTATAAAGGAGTAGCAGTCTCATGACATAGAATTCTCAATTTCAAAGGCGATGCAGTAAGAATTTGTAATTCTCTGAGATGGTGATGAGACGTATAAAACCAAGTAAAGCTTTTTTGTGTAAACTGGATTTTATGGCAGAAAAAGTTGGATAAAAAAATTTCAATAGACTGTTCTCTTTCCATACTCTCTGGTACAGTTTACATTAGCATTTATAAAGAGAGACCAAGAAATCAAAATTTCGATTCAGTTTGATTTCTTATAAAAGAATGACATTTTGATGGTGGTCAAGACTAGAGGTCTAATGGTGGTGGAAGAATAGATGATGTTGGTGAAATGGAAGTAGGATGGAGGATAAAATGGGATATGTGGATGAGATGGCATGCCACGTGGCATCCACCTCAGCAATATGTCAGGCCACGTGAGATAATTTTATCATGGTGGAAGGTCCTAAAGGCAGAGGGGTATTTTTGCTCCAGTTTTATGATGTCAGGGGCTATAGCGTGACAATAGTATAACTGAGGATATAAGTAAATATTTTTGAATCGTAGAGGGGTGTCACGACCCGAAATTCCCACCCTCAGGTAAGGGTGAGTGTTTGGTACTTCGGTACGGTATTTATGAATTACGGTTTGATACTTCGGTATTCGCTATATCAATTATACATATCAAATACCATACCAAAATAGTTTGGTATGGTTCGGTATTTTCTTGTTCGGTTCGGCATCTCACCCTCCCTATCTAACGTGACAAACATTGGCACTGATCACTGATGATTCGGTGAAGGAGTGGCAATTTGCATACCAGATTCGGTAAATAAACACCTCAAATACATACGAAGCATACAAAATTAGAATAGCACATGTCATTAGAGGTGTAACGACCCGACCGGTCGTTTTGAGCTCTAGCACGTCATTCGGTGGTTTGAGGCCTTAAGTAGCTTCACTTAAGGTATTATGACTTGTACGTGTGGTCGGAAATTGAACTTCGGGAAGTTCAGAATTGATTTGGGAGGAAAATTCTAATTTTGAAAGCTTTAAGTTGGAAGAACTGACTAAGGTTGGACTTTTGAGTAAATGACCTCGGAATCGGGATTTGAAGGTTTCGATAGGTTCGTAAGATGATTTCGGACTTGGGCGCATATTCTGGTTGAGTATCGGATCACCTGAGAGCAATTTGGTGCTTATTATGAAAAATTGGCATTTTTAAAAATTTTAGAATTTTATAAGTTTGGTTTGAAGATGATTTTTATATTATCGATGTCCGTTTGGGGTTCAGAGCCTTGGAATAGGTTCGTATAGTGATTTGTGACTTGTACGCAAGTTTGGCGTCATTCTGGAATGTTTTGGTATGGTTTGGACGCATTCGTCGAAGTTTGAAGGTTGGAAAGTTGAAAGAATGGCTTTGGTGGATTCCCGAGGTCCTCTGGTGGATTCCAGATAGTTAACAGATCGATTTTTGGACTAAGTAAATGCTAGAATTTCTCTGTTGCTGGTGCGATCACTTCTGCGGAAGCTTGATCGCAGAAGCGACCCGCAGAAGTGACCTCACTGAAGCGAGGGACTGATCGCAAAAGCGGACGGATTGGGACTGGGTTGAGGTCGCAGGTGTGAAGCATTTTCCGCACCTGCGTGATCGCAGATGGGGAGGAAGATACGCAGAAGCGGAAGCTGGGCTAATGGAGAAAGCCGCAGAAGCGGCAGTTTTTGCGCAGATGCGCATGCGCAGAGGCGCATTCCAGCCCGCAGAAGCGAAAATGGGCCAGGTGAGGGGTGTTCGCAAAAGCGAGTTTTGACTTGCAAAAGCGAGGCCGTTGATGCGACAATTCTGTCCGGAAAAGCGAAAACTGGGCATAACATAAGGGATCAAACTTGGTCATTTCGTCATTTTTGTTTGGGATTTTTGGAGCTCGGTTCTTGGGCGATTTTGAGAAGTTTTCATCATGTAACACAAGGTAAGTAATTTCCCACTTGTTGTGAGCTAAATGTAAGGTTTATATGTGGATTTAAGGAGGAAACTTTAGGAAAAATTGTGCGATTTTTGTATAAAACCTAGAATTGATAATTTTAGATTTTGACCATGATTTTGGAAATAGAATTTGGAATAAATTATATATTTGAGTTCGTAATATTATGGGTAATGTTTATCTTCGAAAATTTTCAAAATTCGGGCACGTGGGCGTAAGGGTTAATTTTATAGATTTTTGAGCGGAGTTGGAAATTATTATGAGTATTATAGTATATCTTTATTGGTTTGCACATTGTTTGACTAGTTTTGGATCGACAGACATCAGTTTTAGGTGTTAGAGAGGTTTTGGATCCGGTTATGGAACTTCGGAGTGAGGTAAGTCTCCTGTCTAACTCTGTGAGGGGGAAACTACCCCTAGGTGATGTATTTGTTATATGCTACTAGTTGCGGGGGGATACATACGCACAAGGTGACGAGAGTCCGTACGTAGCTAGATTCATGTTATGTCCGGTAGACTTAGGTTCCTTCCATGATATAATTGTACTATTTGAGTTGTCTCTTGCCTATTAAATTCTTTTATTTTACGTTGCGACTTGAGACTAGACTTGTGTAGAGTAATAGACTTGCTATTGTAGAGATTCGACAGGCTTCATGATTAGCCCCGAAATAATTGTACTCCTCTTACGAATTTCTCCCGCGTTATGCGTTCTCATCGAAAGGTTTTCCTTAAAATTCATAACTCACACGTCTATTCGTGAGTGGGGTCAAGGACCCGTCAAAACTTCTTATTCTAATAGGATCAGGCCGTCCACCTTGGCAGTATAATAGATACATCTATGGTTCATGTCGTTCGACCCTCGACAGTGCGCACATTATGATGGAATCGGGTCGTTCGCCTTGGCAGGATTATGTATCACACTCTCATGGGAGCGGGCCGTTCGCCTCGGCAATACAATAGATGTACCTATGGTTCGACAATATTATGATAGATTGGGTCGTATGCCTCGATATTTCTATAAAATATTCTTATGAAATCGTGCGTAATAATTGATAAGAAGCCAGTATATCTGTGAGTTTTCCTGATTTGAACTGTGACGACCTATCTGGTAGGGTCCATTATATTTATACTCCGATTGAGGGGGTAACTACTAGCTGAGAGCTTGAGTTATTGCTGAGAGGAGAATTATACCACGTATTTATACTTGTTATTTCGTTTATTTACTCCCACTCACATCTGTTTACTTCTAATATATCTGTCTTATTGGACCACTAGTAATTGTCGATGTCGACCCCTCGTCACTACTTCTCTGGGGTTAGGCTAGATACTTACTAGATACGCATTGATTTACGTACTCATGCTACACTTGCTACACTTATTGTGTAGGTACATATATGTTTGGTGGTCTTTTGGGCGCAGAGGCGCGACGATTGTGGGGACTTTACCGTGAGATGTATTTCATGTTACGATCCGCAACCTGGAGAGTCTCCATCAGAGTTATTTATATTCTTCTGTTTAATTTGTAATCCAGGCAGATGTTGTATTTTATTATATTTTCTAGTTGATGCTCGTGCACTTGTGACACTGGATTTTGGAGGTCCCTACAGGTTGTTCATCATTGTAGTTCGTGTAAATGTTATCATTCACCCTATAAATTCTATTTCATACTATTTAATTAATAAAAATTATGATTTTAAATTGCTAAAATTAGTAAGTAAGTTGATAGATTACTATTGGCTTGCCTGACGGCGGTGTAGGGTGCCATCACAACCTTTAGCTGATTTTGGGTTGTGACAGGAGGTTATTCTGATTCACACGCAGGCATCATTTTCTATGATAAAACTAAGGAAGCAAGACAAGACTATGTACTAGGAATGAGATATAAAAATTTTTGCGCCATTGTTCTGTTTGGTAACTTCAGATTCATATTGTTTCTCAGAAATGGTTAAGAGCATGAAGAAAGTTGCAAAACTCGATGCTTTCTGTTGGTTACAAGAATGTTATAGGAGCTCGAAGTGCTTCTTGGCATATTATGTCTTCCATTGAGCAGATAGAAGAGTCAAAAGGAAACGAGAACAATGTGAAGTTGATTAAGGGATACAGGCAGAAGGTAGAAGAGGAGCTGTCCAAGAAGATTTGCCATGATATTCTAGAAATTATGGACAATCATCTCATTCCTTCTTCAGGTACAGGAGAAGCTACTGTCTTTTGTTACAAAATGTAAGACTAATGTTTAACAATCCATTCTAACTGTTCGGTATTTTGATATACCAAAATATCGAAACCTCAATACCGAGGACTGTATCGAAATACCGAATAACCGAAAAATTGATACCGAATTATACCGAAATACCGAATAAACCGATACCGAAATACTGAATTAATTCGGTCCGGTTCTGAATTCATTTTTTCGGATTTTATGCCCACCTCTGCCCTCGGGACCGTGATGACGCATAACATTTCACTTGCTACGTAAGCCAATGTTAGAATAGTTTTAGCCATTTTAACAAATCAAATTAACTGATACCAATTAAACTGAATAAATTGAAATAGAGTGAGAAAAACCATAATAACCGCAATATCTAGATACAATCCTAGAACTGGTGTCACAAGTGCATGAGCGACTAGAATAATACAAATAATGGTCTGAATGAAAGTAAAACTGTCTGAAATGAAATAAACAGCTAGAATAAGGTAGAAGGGGACTCCAAGGCTGCGAACGCCATGCAACTGTACTTCAAGTCTCTGAACCGGCAATCAATCCGAGCAATCTACTGACCGCCGCTAGGACCGACTTCAAAATCTGCAGAAGAAGTACAGATTATAGTATGAGTACAACCTACCCCATGTACTATGTAAGTGCCGAGCCTAACATCGACGAAGTAGTGATGAGGCTAAGGTGGGTCACCTACAATAACCTGTACGCAATATAATAGTAATGATAGGAATGGAACACATGAAAGTAAGGCAGTTAACTTATGAAAATAAACTCAATCCTCGAAATCGGTAAAACCAGAAATACCAATATTCAGAATCTCGTATGAAAGCACCGAAAGCTAACACAATGCAACAATAAATACAAAACACACAATCCGTTGCAATGCGCAACCCGATCCCATAGTACAAACACAATCTTCCCTTATTTCACCATATCAGTATCAAGAATAACAAGTAAAAATCCGTTGCGGCACGCAACTCGATCCCACAATATAATAAAAATTAATATATAGTCCTCCCTTATTTTACCATATCAATATCACATATAAAATCAGTTGCGGCGTACAACCCGATCCCACCATATCAATATCAATCCTCCTTTATTTCACCCATTGCGGCGTGCAACCCGATCCATAAATAAAATCAATAAATGTAAGCAATTCAACAACTCAATTCACAAGAATTTCTATGATTAAAGAATATGAAAACAAGTCGTAAAGCGACCTCATACCAAATCAAGGAATGCTACAATTCATACAAAGCAACAAGACAAGTCAAATATATGACAATTAAAGTGTGCAAGTAAAACAATTTAAGGCAAGAAGCAATTAATCATGGAAGCATGGAAGAAACAAATATTTTAATATGAAAGAAACAAGTGACAAGTAGCAAGTTAAGGTATATGAAGCAATTAAAGCATGTAACAGTTAAAGCATAGAATACAATAATTAATGAAATACGGGAAAGCATGGATACAAGTATTTTGACAGCGTATAAACACTCATCACTTCTCATATACGCTGCTACACATGTAATTCACATAGCACATAGCTCAAGGGTTCCTAATTCCCTCAAATCAAGGTTAGATCCAACACTTACCTTACTCCACAAGCAAATCAAAGCTCAACGGAGGCCTTTCCTCTAAAATCCGCCTCCAAACCAATCGAATCTAACCAAAATTGACTCAATAACATCAAACAATACTAGAAAAATCAATTACAATACATAAAGTTAAGATCTTTACACTTTTCCAAAAAGTCAACAAAAGTCAACCCCGGGCTCACTTGGTCAAAACCCAAGATTCGGACCAAAACCCAATTACTCGTTCACCCTCGAGCCGGATTTTGTAATTATTTTCGAAATCCGACTTCAATTTGAGGTCTAAATCTCAATTTTACAAAAATTCCCAATTCTTCCCAAATCTCATATTTTCTACCATGAAAGAACATAAATTAAGGTTAGAAATTAATGGGTGATGATGGAAATGGAAGAAAACAAGTTAAAGTATACTAACCTATGAAAGGGTGATGAAATTTCTCCTCAAAATCACCTTTAGGCCGAGCTCTAATGAACAAATGGTGAAAAATGGGTGAAATCCCGTTGGCGTTAGGCTGGCGACGCCAGGCCTGGGGCCAGGTCCAATCCGAGTTTTGAAGACTTAATTCATTTTCGGGTTTGACTAGGACTTGTCCTACACGTTTAGGTCGTTTTCGAGTTTTAGGTCTATTTATATGTGTAGGAAAACACCTAAACGTGTAGGACAAGTCCTAGTCCTAGCGTCGCCAGGTTCTCTCATTCACTGCTCCTGCGCACGCTTTCGACTTGTAGGTCTCCTTTTTCTTCTACTTTCATCTCCAATTCACCTACACATAAAATAGACTCAATTAAGCACAAATATAGTATAGTTTAGCATTAAAGCCCCAAAATGTAAAGTAAGTAATGCACTAAAAATATGTAATTATAACCAAACATCACTACCCCACACTTAAACTCTTGCTCGTCCTCGAGCAATCAAACTACACTTTATATAGACACGACCTTTTTAAATAATTCTCCTAACTCATCACACCAAGAATCTTTAAAATAGACTAAGCACAAGAGTGTAACATCTTCACCTCAAAATTTGACTCACAAGTACCACACATTATTCACAACTCACTCACTTACTCTAACATAGAGGTTAATGATATTACCTTTCCTTCATGAATCAAGTTCCCTCACACAACAAAAGAGAGTAGTTCCACACACAATAAAAATTTAAGAACAATTAGGAACTCAAGATAGAAAGAATTCACTCACTCTCAGAAATAATATTCATATGCCACAAAAGATGCGCCATAGGCTTGCCCGTAGTATACTACTCTACTAATTGAGCTCATTCAGTCTAGGATCAAGTAGGACTTTAATTGGTTGTAATGTAGGCTACGGGTCGGGTAGGATACATTTAGATATAAGAGTGACTACACCTCCCTAAGCACTTTTAATACATGTACTTTAACATTTAACCCCACACTTATGTCAAACCATAACTCCACTTTCACATCAATATATATTAACTTCATACTTCTTTAAGCACAATTATATCACGAGTCACCACTATCAAGGAATATTTTTCACAACAATATAACTATTTTTTCCTTTCTTTTTCAATTCAAGTGGCTTTTCTTATTTTTTATTTTTTTTAAAAACAGTGGACCTTTCTCCTTATTTCATTAGTTCCACTCAAAAGTCAAACCAACCACCCCACACTTTAACTTTTACAAAGTTCATAACAATTCAAGTGCTCATGAGAGGTGAAAAGGTTCAAATAGATAGTTAATTCAAACAAATAGGTAAGGCTTGTAATGTGATTGCCAAAGAAACAAGATTACAGGCTCAAAGGGGTTAATTACGATACATAACAATAAGGGGGGTAAATTATATAACTGGTTCAACAAAGAAACGCCTATATCATTTCCAAGACTGAACAAAACTACTATTTCACTTTGCAAACACACGGGGCAAGTTCTAGACATCAGATGCAATGCATAGAATTACACATAAACCTCACACACACATGGCACATAACTCACTTAGGATTGGACTCATCAAGACATTCTAGTCAAAGCAGTTAAGCAAAGTTAAGTTCATACGATTTAAGCTACTCATACAAGAGTCAAAAACTGAGCCTAAGTATCACAACCAAAGTACTCACTATTCTCAAGGCATAACAAAGCTAAGAGATATTACTCCAATTCAAAACATAGCACAAAGTTTTCTACTTCTAACAAAATAAAAACTAACTACACCCGGTTCAAACAAAACCCTTGAAAAAGAACCGTGGCACAAAGAAAAACCAAGGGGGAATTACTACACTACCTACAAAGAAATTTTTTTGTCCTTTTTCTTTAGACTTAAATCCCTCAAAAAACCTGTCTAGGAAATCCATCGTTGGGAAAAATCTAATTTTTCTACTTTTGTTTTCTTATTTTTTTTAAAAAAAATTAAAAATTAAGCTACTAAACTACTACTACTACTACTACTACTACTACTACTACTACTATACTACACCATTAATTCTACTAACTCAGAGAATATTTCACCCCACACTTAAAAGAGTGCAATGTCCCCAATGCACAAATATCGCAAAAATAACAAGGGTGAACAAGAAACTCCCTGAAAGTCCAAAGGTCGAAGAATTAGCAGCTCACGGGATACTCAAACTTCTCCCAAGTATGGTCCTTTGTGTGGGCACCACACACTTAGTTCTCACTATCTGTCTCACTTTTGCGCATCTTATGACCTTGCTTCCTATACTCATAATCCTACAACATAAAACAACACTACAAATATAATAGAAAAATAAAATAAACCAAAAATAAACAAAAATAAAAGAAAGCAGTAAAGCTGGGTTGCCTCTCAACAAGTGCCTAATTTAACGTCGCATCACGACGTGAACCACTTTTTGCCTCCACCTCGAACTTATGAATTGCGCCCCTAATTTGGCTTCAAGCTTTCTGTTATGCTCCCGAGGCGGTGAGACAAATTTAATTGGGCCAAGCAACCAATATCGCGTTTTACACTTCTTGGCCTTCGGATGAGGTATGTAATTCTGTCTCTCTGGCACGACGAATTCAAGAATGTAAGCACCCCATTCCTCATCCATTGGCACCTCTAAAGGATCAGATGACTCGATTTCCAAGTCATCATCCAAACACAATTTTGAAAAATATATGGAATGAGGACCAATACACCCTAACTTTAGAATTGTATTACTCTTTACATCCTCATATGTACACACACTAGAGTATTCACATATAATATTATCTACTTCCTCACATGACTCTAGAGTGCTTTCCTCAACATGGACATCAATAATACAAGTATGGCTGAATGATTTACTCTCCACTTTTAGCACCTCAATTTGGTGTGTAAGCTCCTTTTCAGCTTCACACAACTCAGAACTATTTTGTTGGGCGTTAGACGCATCAACTTTTGCAATTAATTTAGCTCCCAAGTCGTGAATAT